AGTGGGGTTCTTGGGAAATAATTAAAGCATGAGGCACTAATCTCATGGATGGGTTAATCCACTGATGAGTTCGTATTTGAATGTGCTGTTAGAAGGCAGGGTTTAGTTTGGGAAAGTAGACCCTGGGGACATAACCTGAAAGGGTATAATCTTGCACCCAGCCCGTTCCTCTCCCTTTGACATTTTCTTTATCTCTCTGCTTCTCAGCCACCATGAGGTGAGCAGCTTTCCACCTCCATGAGCTCCCACCATGATGTCTCTCCCTTTGAACTAATCATGGACTGAAACCTCTTAAACCACGAGCCAAAATAAACCTTTTCCCCTTTAAAAAAATTGCTAGACCAGAGAATAGAAATGGAGTGAAACCATGATGTCCATAATGTTCATAATCTCAATTACCTCTACAAAGACCTTTTATCATTAATGGTAACATATTTGTAGGTTCTAGGAATCAGAGCATGGACGTCTTTGGGAGGCCATTATTCTGCCTACCACACATCCTTCTTCAAAGAGACCTAACAATCCTAAAAGTGTGTTCTCTTAATGAGAGAGCTTCAAAATGCATGCTGCAAAAACTAATAAATCTCAAAGGAAGAGTAACAAATCAACTTCATGATGCCTCATAAGTAACTGAAAGAACAAATAGATAGGAAATGAATAAAAATAGAAGACAATTTAAACAACATGATCTCTCAACTGGAGTAATGATATTTATAGAATGCTCTACCCAACAATTGTAGAATGTACATTCTTGTCACATGCACATGGAATAAGTTTTGTCAAGACATGCCATAATCTGGATTATATAATAAATCTTAATAAACATAAAATAATAGAAGTCATATAATAAGTATTCAGGTAAGAACAGAATTAAACCAGCAAGGAATTATAAAAATATCTGAAAAATCCCAAATTTTTGAAAATGTTAAGAAACATATTACTGGATTAAGGAAGAAAGCTGAAAGGAAGTTTAAAAATATTTCTAATGAGCCATGGTGCCAAGTGTCTGCAATCCCAGCACACTGGGAAGTGGAGGCAGAACACTTGCAAGACTAGCCTGCTTTAGTGATTTAGAGAGACTCTGTTTCAAAATAAAAAATTGTTAAAAGGCCAGGGCTGTAGTTTAGTACAAAGGCCCTGGATTCATTCCCCCGTACTGAAAAAAAAAATGCTAAACAAATAAAACTTAAAATACGGCATACCAAAACCTACAAATGAAGTTGAAGCAATATGTACAGGTATGCATACAATAATCTTTATATTCAGGAAGATTATTAATCAGTAATCTAAGCTTCCAACCTTAACAACTAGAAAAAGAAGACAAAATCAAATTCAACTCAAACAAAAGTAATAAAAATTTGAGCAGAAATTTATGAAATTAAAAGTAGAAAAAACAGAAAAACAATGGAATTAATCAGTTTCTTTGATTAAGATCAACATAATTGTTAAATCTCTAGTCAGATAGAAGAGAAGAGATTGCAAATTACCACAATCAGGATCTTAAAAGGATAATAAAGAAATACTATAGCTAAGCTTGGTGGCACACACCTGTAATCCCATCTACTTGGGAGGCTGAGGCTGGAGGATCACAAGTTCGAGGCCAGGTTAGGCAATTTAGCATGATTGTGTCTCAAAAAGAAGAGAGAGAGAGAGAGAGAGAGAGAGAGAGAGAGAGAGAGAGAGAGAGGAAGGAGGGAGGGAAGGAGAAAGGAAGAAAGAAAGAAAGAAGAGAGAGAGAAAGAAAGAAAGAGGGTAGGGATGTAGGCGTATTTCAGTGGTCTCTGGGTTAAATTCCAAGTACTAAAACCTCTTAAAATAATTATGTATTATATCACTAGAGCATTTATTCTTCTCCTTTGTGATATTGCTTACTGTAATAAATTAACCAGACTAATTCAGTTTGATGACATCAAGTGGTTCTTACTTTATTCCCATTCTTGTCTCAAGGTCTCTTAATAAGATACAGACCACAAAATGAAAAAGACTCAAAATCATGGTTGAAAATACTGTGACACATATGTATTAATATTGCAAAGAATAAACTCATGCAAACAGGTACGCCAGTGTAAGCTGACATTGCTCGCTCAAGTAGACACCCATCACTCTCTGTCCAGAAACTAAGACTTCCTGTGTTGAATTTTAGACTGGGAGCAGATAAGTTTGAGAAAGCATTCTGCCAGCCCAACTCAGAGCATGGTATTCACTGTAACAGACTGAAGACACGGATGGAGAGCAATCTAATCATGACTGTTCATTTTGAAATTTTATTGGTATTGTTTTAATTTTCTACTTTCTGGTGGGCATGTAAATAAGGCTTTATTTTCTTTCTTCCTGTCTTTCCTTCTTTCTTTCTTTTCTGTAGCAGGCTCCTCTGCCCAGTATTAGTGGGCTACAGTGGCACAAGCTTCCCGCCCCTCCATAATTCATCTGTGTTACACTGGAAGCAGCAGAGCTTGGCTGACTTCACTCCCAGTCAAGGTCAACTGACTCCAGCTAAATTCTTCCCCTCTGAATTAACCAATTGTTCTCTTTAGCAAAGATATATGTGTGTGCTCATTCTACAGTCCTGCCTACTCCATCATTGTTGTCAGCAGGTGTTCCCCAGGCCTGCCCAGCTTCCCCCTTCCCAAGCTTGTAATGAATAAACACTGGATGTCCTGGGAGTTCTTTATCCTTGCTGCCCAGAGCAGCTGAGATCAGCCCAAGACCCAGTTTCTCTCAAGTCTTTGTCTCTATTTCTTTTAATTCCCACTTTCCTATCTTGCAGATGTCATACCGGCTTGCAGAAGACCAGCACCACTGCAGGATTCTCTGGCAACTCCCATGACCCTTCCTTCCTTCCTTCCTTCCTTCCTTCCTTCCTTTCTTTCTCTTTCTTTCCTTCTTCTTTATTTCTTCCTTCCTTCCTCCCCACCCCCACTCTTTCTTTAATTTGGTTTTTTGAGACAAGGTCTCACTACATAATTCAGGCAGGCCTTGAACTTATTATGTAGCCTAGGAGGCTGGTCTCTAAATTGTGGCAATCCTCCTGCCTCAGGTGAACAAGACTTTAAAAATCTTTCTCTAACTCCTATGTTACGCTTACACAAAACACTCTTTGTATTAGCACCTATATCACCAACACTTTGAAATTCAAGAACACATACTTTTACTGCTTCTCTCTTTCATGGTAATGCAGTTCTCTCCACAGGTGTTACAGAAATCTATCCTCCTTTTCAATAGGCTATAACTTGTCAAATTGTGGCATCAAGGCCATAGCTAGAGGATCATATTTGATAATATATTCAACTTAATAAGGTATGACAAACCCCTTGTCCTCATTAAAGACACAGACATAACTGATGTTTGGGGAAAATGCTGATAAGCTTTCCTAAGTAAATCATCTGCTGTCTGTCGTACACTGTTCCAGCATTACAGGTAATAAGGAAGGTCACAGTCTAGCATGAAAAGGAGAGAGAATTTGCCTATATTTATAGGTGAAATTCAGTGAAGATGAGTTTTTTATTTTGTAAATAAATTATAAAAAAGATCTCTGAAGTAGTATTACTAAAAGTGAAACTAGAGTCCCTACATAATCTCTAGAATATAATTTAATAGCCTTAGCAGTTGTTTAGCATAATCTGATCTCTAAATCTGCTGATTATACAAGGAATCATGTGTGTTAGCTGACCCTTCTTACTGCACCTACATAAATTAATAAAGTCAAATAGCAATATTAACATAAGACCAGCCTCTAAGTAACAAGTTATGATCACAAGATGGGATTGTTATTCAAAGCTTAGAGATAAAGTAAAAAGTTGACAACTTGTCATTATATCATAGCAGAGCCCTCTTCAGCCCACCTGCAGGCTGATTCTCAGGGAAATATACCTTTGTTTGAATTACTCTTTACTACCAACTAGTACTCGTGTGAATTACATGGCTCAGGTCATTCAAGGTAAGACGTTAACTTGTAGAAAACTGATAAAAACAAATTACTCTGTCCAATAAAGATGCCTTTTTGTGGAAGAAACCCCCAAGTTTACAGTTTTACTGTCAGTAAATTAACTAAACTTGTATCTAATTTGGCAATCTACTTTCAGTTTAGTTTCACTGACTACGCGCGGGATGGTCCTCACTTCTCTTGATTTTTCCTTCTCTATCCTTCTATCTCCTTTATACACACATACGCGTACACACGCGCACACACACACGTCACGTGTCCTAGTATAACATATTTCTGAAACATAATCACCACTGCCATGGTTCCCCTTAGGAACAATCTCCCCTTTGCAAAAATGGTAATGTCTCATGAAATATCTATTATCTGAATTCCTCAAGGGGAATCATTCACTCTTGCCTCAAAATTACACTGTACATAATATGTGATTTGTATTTTACTGCACCTATTATTAGCTTATCTTCTTCCAGAATTCCTCATCTTTATGTCTCAGACTGAGTTAGAAGTTGTTCTTCTGTGCTCCTGAAGCAACCTGAAATTAACTTTAGTTTGGCACTTACCACGATGTATTGTAAATGTTTCTTATGCTAATCTGAATTCTATTAGGGATGGAGGTATGCTTTTTCACCATTATATTCCACTTGCCTAGTACCCAGTAGGTACTCAATAAATACTTGCTGAGTGACAACAAGGAATCAAGAATAATTATGTATCCTAGTCTGCCTCAGCTGTAGGAGTGTGAGGTCAAAAGGCCCTGGAAAATGCTACCTACATGGTAGACATACATCAAAAGTTACCAAATACTTAGGTAAAAGGGAATTATATGACAAGAGTAAGTTTACAAGTTTCTATTCAGACTTTCTGGTGAAGGTTGAAAGCAACAATCACTGACTGCCTTACCAGAAAAGCCCTACTGCCAATGCTATGGTCCTGCTACCAAACTAGGAAGAAATGGAGTGCACACTATCTTCACCTCTGGCCTTTATCTCCAAGGGCAGCACATGAACCCATACAGAAGAGGAATCCAATCAAGCTTGCGAAACTGGGGAATGTGTCTTACCCCTGGCCGTACGAACCATTCACCGGCATTCAGAGTTGACAAGGTGCTCCAGTTGAAGGAGGAAGGGTGGTTAGAGGCAGCCTCTGGCATGGCCTCTCTGATGTTGGTTGTTCTTCTCAAGTCATAGTCATGCATGAGAAAAGGCACTTGATCAAAACTGCAGGCAGGGGACAGGGAGGGTAAGGGATGAATAAGCTGAACTTAGTTATTTTGGCAGGCAGAATCCCCAGAAAGCCCTTCAAGGTGTCATGATTTTACTAGGGCTCTTTATTCCCTCATATCTCAGCAACCGACTTTGATGTGGATATTTTTCTACCCAGGGACCAATCTTTAATGTAATAATCATATTATTGATGGTAAAAGAGTAACTTCCCTATTCAGAAGCCCTCTGGCATGAGGAAAGCAGCAGGTAGAATCGTGGCTTGAGAATAAGGTGAACGGGGTGGGGCCGAGGCAGGGCCTGAGGTCCAGAGGACCAGGCTTCCATACAATCTTTCTTGTGTTTTTCTGACCCCTTTCCCAGGTATGTATCTGCCCTAAGCATTTCTAGTCCTAGACACTCCCCCATCTGATAGTATTACTAGACAAGTTCCTGGTTCTATCATCTACTCTTTGGTTTGGATAGTTCATAATTTTATGAAACTCTCTTATCTTTTCTAATTAAAATACTTATGAAGAAAATATCTAAAATGGCCATAAGGAAGTAGAGATTGAAATTTACTCTTCTGCCCCAAACAACTAAATAACTTGACAAAATAAAGGAAATAAGTAATCAATGAGTCCCAAGATGGATAAGTGCAAGAGTATATAGACCCAACTGTACTAAGGATTATTATAACTGGTTAAAAACTGACATAAGTTTCAAAAGTAGCTGGGATAGGGTGTAGGCATATGTAGAAAGGAAGGCAGATAAGCATATAACAGGCTTCTCATAAACAATTAAACAAGGAAAAACTACAGAACACTTTTACATCTTTTTCTTAGTGCATGTGGATATGTATATCAATATACTTTGGCAGGTTCACAAAGGCATGTAAAATAATTTTTCATTCCTTACCACCTCTCTTGCCCCATGGGGGGGATTCAAGGTGTAGAATACATTTTGATTATATCCATCTCCCTTATTACCAGCCCTTACACTCCTTTCTCTCCCCGATTCCCTTCCTCTTGTCTAACAACAGTCTCCCGTCTACTAACTTGTCATTTTTAAATATGTTTATATTCCACATTTTGGGGAGAATATATGATATATGTGTTTCTGACCCCTGGCTTATTTCACTCAACATCATGATCTCCAGATCCATCCATTTTCATGAAAATTACAGGATTTCATTCTTCTGGCTAAATAATACTCCATTGTGTATATATACGTTTGCTTTATCCACTCATCTGTTGATGAGCGCCAGACTGGTTTCATATCTAAGCTATTGTGAATCGTGTTGCAAAATGGGTATGCAGATATCTCTAGAGTATGCTGACTTTTTCTTCAGACTAGTATAGGTGTATCAAATGGTAGCTCTATATTTCAGTTTTTGAGAAACCTCTATACTGACTTCCATAGTGGCTGTACTAATTACACTCCCACCAGCAGTGCAGAAGGCTTCTTTATTCCTGCATCCTCTTGTTATTATTTCCTTTGCTATTTGAGTCCTGCTTAAGGAACTGCCATGGCTTCAAGCATTTCCCCTATGTTTTCTTTCATCAGTTTCAATTTTTCAGGTCCTATACGTAGGTCTTTGGTACATTTTGAAATGATTTTTGTACAGGTTGAGAGATAAGGATCTAGTTTCAATGTTCTACAAGTGTATATTCAATTTTATCAGCATCACTTATTAAAGATGCTGTCTTTTCTCTGATGTATATTTTTGGTTCCTTTATCCAGAATCAAATGGTTGTCACTGTGGGCTTGTTTCTATGTCCTCCGTTCTGTTTCATTGGTCTATATGTCTATTTTTGTCCCCCTACAATGCTTTTTTGTTGTTATTGTTACTATGGCTTTGTAGAATAATTTGAAATTGGATACTGTTATTATGATACCTTCAACCTTGCTCTTTTTGCTTAAGGTTACTGTGGCTATTCTCTTTTTTGTGTTTCTGTATGAATTGAGGATTTTCTTTTCTAGTAGAACTACATATTTTAAATGCTAAAAGAAAAGAACAACTTAGAATTATATACGCAGCAAAAATATTCTCTAGAAATGAAGAGAAATCAAAACAATTTCATACCAACAAAAAGCAGGATAATTAATTTCCAGTATTCCCTCACAATAAGAAAAATTAAAAGAAATTATTAGGCAAAAAGAGAAATAATTCAAGTAGAAACTTGGATCTATGTAAAAAAATAAGAATGTCAAAACTGAAAATTTATGATTAAATGTTACAAAGTTTTAAAATATTTTTAAATCTTTTAAAAATAAAATTCTTTACCTAAAGCAAAAATAAGTAAAGATATATGGTGAGCATCATGATAGCACCAGGTTAGATAATGGGAAAGGGAAAATGATAATACACCTCTCAGCAACTTGTATTTTATTTTAAAATGTATAGCCCTGAAGAGATGAGTTAATGATGGTATTATAAATTCTAGCATAATCCCTAGAAAAAAAGAAAGGTATAACTAATAAGCCAACACCATAATCAAAGTCCTAAAATTTTCTCCATTAGTCCAAAAGGAAGCAGGAAAAGAGAAAACAAATAATAAAATCATATTCACTCAACTCAGGTATAAAATTGAAGGAGTGGCAGAAAAAGTCAATAATTACAATAAATATTCTTCTAAATGTAATATTTTAAAATAAAAGTTAATGTAAAACTCCATGATAAGTATAACTTACAAATTTAAATATAGACAGGAATGGTATTACCAATTTCCACTTTTATTTCAGGCTATAATTTGGCTTGGCATTGAATTTTTGACATTTTTTGACATTTCATTGAATTTTTGACTTTTTTATCATAGATGTTGAACAATAGACAACAACTAAAGAAATTACTAGCCACACACACACTTATTAGGTGCAACATTTCAATTTTTTTCTCTTAAAAAGTTAAAAAAGACACTGAGTGGAGGGAATAGGTAGCAGGCCAACTTAGCTTTCATGGACTCCCAGTGACTGCTGGCAAGATTTCTCCTTTTACTCCATGCAGTGAGGTCAACATTGCTCCAGGGTCTGAGGGTTGCATAAGCAAGCCCAGAAAATCCAACTGGGTTCTCCAGGGAGGTATATGAGTGGCTGGACATCCATGCTAAAACTTTTACTAGAGGAATGGAGATAATGATCTGTGTATGGAATCTTACCAGGGCCCCCCATAGCTTTCTCTCAGATGCATTACAGCTATTTACATTTAACATTTGTTTCTGAGGAATAGACATACCACCTGCTTTTTAAATGTTTCTCAACAGTATGTTCAAATGAAAATTTCATGCAACCAATACATTCATTTCCTTCTGCATGTATGGTGTATTATTCAGCTTTCCCATTACTAGAACATAATACTCAATATCCCCAGCTTAAAGCATAGGTTTAAAAACTCATAATTTTGGAGGGTTCAGTACATGGCTGTCAGGCTTCAAAGTGGAAGGGCATGGCAAGACAAAGCTACTTAGTTCATTGTGGCAAGGAAGCATAGCAGAGAACAGTGCCAGGGGTGAGAAGAAGGGGTAACATAGACCCCAAGGCTATACTTCCAAGTGTCACCCAGACACATCTAGAAGTGTACTCCACCAATCCAATAGATGGATCACAAAGCCAGTCAGTTGACACTCCATCCTAACCATCACATATGGAATGTATATACAGTGGACCTTTGACTTAAAAACTCAATTTGTTTGTGAGGGATGGGTGTAACTCAAGTTGGTTGTAAGTCAAGACTATTTTTCCAAAAATAAAGAATGGAAATCCCCATAATGCATTGTGAACCTCCCAATGTACCCCTTAACTAACCTTTTCATAATAAAAATGGTTGTATAATGTGCATAATTTACCAGAAACACCAATAATTCCTAGTGTATTCACCAAGAAGTTATAAAATGTGCCTAGTTTACCAGAAACAACAATTTCATACTATACTCACCATTCAAGTTAACATCTCTGGCTTGCAGGAAGGGAGGATAAAATAGAAGGTAGTTATTGGTTGGAAGGAGAGTCCCCTTCCATAAGAACATCAGGAATCTGGCTCTTTGGTGTCCTTTCTCTCCTTGGGAGAGTCCTAGCCTACTAGGAACTGCTCCTGGCTTACTAGGACTCAACCTTTTCAGAACTAAAAACTGGCCTAAGCTTGTCTGTTTCTGTCTTGTCTTTTAACACTGCTCTGTGGTATGACATGTTACTGTCGTTAAGCAAGTAAATGCAACAATTGGTCTTTTCTCTGTCTGGGTGGGTCTTCTCTACAAATGTGTGTAGCTCTGTCCATTTTTTCAGATTTCCTTTATTTCAGAAGAACTTTGCTTCACTGATTGTTGATACTCCCCTTCCTCTTCAGAAAGCTCCTCCACTGCCATTCTCTGTTGCTCAGCCAGAAGCTGCTGAAGTGCCTCTGTAGAGAACTCCTCTTAGTGTTCCTCCACCAGTTAGTTCCTCAACATCATCACTGTCTACCTGCAGCCTATGGACTCTACTATGGAGACAATGTTATCAACCACAGGGTCAGTTGAAGGCTCAGGCTCCTTTACACAGCCTTCAAAGTCTCTCTCCTGTACAATTTTAGGCCACACTTTCTTCTCAGTGTCCTTAGAGAGACACTGACCCAGGATTTCTCAGTTAACCCCACACAGGAAAGGATGTTGTAATTTTCCTTCCAGAACTGTTTAAGTATTAAATCTGTATCTGAAACCACCTAGAAGCTTCAGGAACAGTTCCTTGGTGTATAGCTTCTTAGTTAGCTATAACCTGCTGGCCCATAGGCTGCAGTAGAGGAGTTGTATTAGGTGCAAGGAACTCGACTGAGAGCCATGGGAATTCTTCAGCCAATTCCTTCAAAGAAGGAGCAGGAGCATTGTCCAAGATGAGAGGAGCCTTGTGTGGTAAACCTCTGTCCCATAGATATTTAACAGTAGGATAGAAAGCCTCCCTGATCCACTCAAGAAAAAGTACACTTGTTACCCAGGCTTTTGCTTTAAATTGTCACATGATCCCTAGCCTACTCTTTATGATTTTAT